GTGGGGGGGTCACTGGTGACAGGCTGATGTAACCTGGTGTCTGGTGCCCCAGGGAGGGCCCAGCTTTGCTGGGTCTCCCCCATGTTCCCCTGGGCCCTGGCTGTCTGGACAGCAGGGTTGGCTGAGGAGGGAGCCCAAGTCTGCCCCTCTGCTGGGCCCTGGAGCACTAGGCTCTGACTTGCACAGGGACGGGTGACGTTGGGGTGTCCGGGGCCAGCGTCAAGGGTGGTGCTCAGCTCAAGCGAGGCACCCGGAATCACTGGTTGCCGTTCCAGCTTTGTCCCGCCTGTTCAGTTGAACGTCACCCCCCATCTTAGTATGTGATATTTTTTCCACAAGTGGAAACCTCCTCTCTCTTTTTAGTAAGAGTTCTGGTCAATCCCACTGGCTGCGATTTCTCCACTCGCTATTTTTGCCACATGCCAGACTTGATTGCCCTTTTCACAGATGGAGGCATTTCAGAAGTGCCCTGTGAAATTAACTTACAGTGGGGTTTGTAATCTGTGGGTTGAAAAGCCGGGCGTAAGGGGAGGCTGCATTTTGAGCATTCCTGGATCAGACACATGTTGAGCTCTGCCATTGCTCTCACTGGGGGGCTGCCTGTTCTAAGCTGTGTGTTGGTTTGTTCAGTATGCTCAGGCTGCAGAAGAGGCTGGCCTCCAGCGTCCTGCGCTGTGGCAAGAAGAAAGTTTGGTTGGATCCGAACGAGACCAACGAGATTGCCAATGCTAATTCTCGTAAGTAACTATTTCTCATCCACAGGAGCTCTGGGCGAGTCCCTGACTTGCTAGTGCTGTCTCCTGGTATGATTTGTGGGCATAGATAATGATTGACTATTGCAGAAGGTGCAGTGATCTCAACTTGCCCTGGTTACACGCTCTCTAGCAGGTTAATTTAATAGTAGCTAACAATTGCCTTTGCCACAGGTTTTTTAATATTGGACTTTATTTAAAGGTTTTGCTGACTTACAAGCATGTAGCAGTTGCCTTCCTCTGATAATTGGAAGCAGCTAGTGACACAACTCTAGGAGTCTGCTAAATCCACACCGAAAGAACTCGTGCAAAAATGTGACAAGTTTGGATGTTCTTCGGGACAGGAGTTAACACTCCCTAGACCAGTGTTTCTCAACCAGTGGTACGAGTACCCTCCGGGGTACTTGAGAGAAGTCTGGGGGGGAGGGGGGACATCAACACAACTGAAATTTGGAGAAAACTGAATTTTTTTGTTAATTTTTACAACGCTTTATTATTTTTGTACTTTTTTACACCCAAACATTTCATTGCCCACCAGGTTACAATTAAGTTGTTTAATCAAATGTGTTGCAATGGTAGAAAAAAAATTGTATGTCTGAAAACTGTAGGTACTGGGGGTACTTATAACTTTTTTTTTAAAGGGGAACTTTATATAAAAAAACTGACACACACTGCTCTAGGCAAACACCAACCATAGTGATATCCAGTGGTTAACAGATGAGATGTGTGACTGAAAAATAAGAAGAGCACAAATGCATGCGATACAGTTCACTATAAGCTCTGAAAAATAGTTTGTTCCTTCTCACAGAATAGGCATCCTTTGGTGTTCACTGAGCTGGCAGATCCAGCAAATAGAATGGAGACAGAAGCTGGATCCAAAGGACTTCTTTGGAAGGGCTGTTCATTCTATTTAGCTTCACACTGCAGTGATGGAAGAATGTTTCCCGTGTAGGCCTGTGGTAGTCCGTCGCACAACGGCCTGAGGAAAACAATTAAGGGGCTTTAGTAATCTTCTTAAATTCCTGTAGATCAGCAAAAGCAACAAGGAATCCTGTGGCGCCTTATAGACTAACAGATGTATTGGAGCATAAGTTTTTGTGGGCAAAGACCCACTTGAAGATCCAGACTAACACAGCTACCCCTCTGATACTGTAGACCAGGGTTTCCCAACCTATGGGTCGGGACCCAAATATGGGTCACCATTATATTTCAAAAGGGTCACCACGTGTCTCCCCAGGTGGCTCTGCCTCCTCTTTTCCCTCCCGTTTTTGAATTGCCTTGGGTCACCAAGTCTTCGTGAATTGTCAAAATGGGTCCCCATGTGGAAAAGGTTGGGAACTGCTGCTGTAGACTCTCTAATCCATCCCGAAAACGTTCTGAACAGGAAATGTTGATGTTGGACTCTCGCCTTGCTCGTGCCATCTGTTACCTGTTCTGTCTTGAACATGGAATGCCTTATGATTTCCAGGTCAGCAAATCAGGAAACTGATCAAGGATGGTTTAATAATCCGCAAACCTGTGACTGTTCACTCCCGTGCCCGATGCAGGAAGAACACCTTGGCCCGCCGAAAGGGCAGGCATATGGGCATAGGTAAGTGCTGGCTGGCTTCACTTAGGATAACTGGCTGTAAACATCTGTCCAATTCTAGAGACCTTTCCTGAGGGTGGATTTATAAACGGCTTTATGTACTGAGGAGGGGTTCTGTTAATCATACTCGTTGGATTTTGGGTAGGGATGTTATATATCGATTAATAATCATGTAACTGCATTAAATCTTAGTGGTTACACAATTATTCAATAGTCCCTGGAGGCAGGGCCGGCAGCCAGTGCACTTCTGGCCCCACTCCTGGGGAGCCCCCTGCCACTCTGCATTGCTGCCTCTGTATCAGAGGCAGCAGTGTGGGTTGGCGGCAGCCTCTGTCTGCGGGGGACTCTGAGCTCCCCATAGACTGTGCCAGCATCCTATGGGGCTTGCCGTGGGCAGAGGCTGGTTCGTGGCAGCAGTGGCGGAGGAGGAGAGGTGGCTTTGCAGAACCAGCATGTGTGGAGATCCCCATGTGTATCTGCTCTCACCTGCTTATCAGAGGCAGCAGCACGGGGTAGGGGAGTGGCTCTATAGGCACTGGCTCCCGCTCTTCTCCCCCCCCCCATGCTACTTCTGATAGAGAGGCAGCAGAGGGGGGGTGCATGTATTTGATAGGATTAACTGATAAGCCCAGGCTTATCGGTTAATTGCATAGTCAGCTACAGGTTGATATCCCTAATTCTGAGGCAGGCAGAGGTGTTAAGCGTGCTGGGAAGGCTGCTCACCGGCAGTTAACTGTGTTCTCGCTCTGTAACTTGTCCCTCTCCAGGTAAGAGGAAGGGTACAGCTAATGCTCGTATGCCCGAGAAGGTGACCTGGATGAGGAGAATGAGAATTCTGAGACGTCTCCTTCGCAGATACAGGGAGTCCAAGAAGATCGACCGCCATATGTAAGTGTTAGAGCCAGTTGAATCCTGCCCCTCTCCTTAGTTGGTGAGTGTGTTTGGGTGGAACAGGTTCCCCATCTGTCTGGATACACCAGGGCTTTTGCAGCAGGCTCTATGGACTTGGACCCGAGCCCACAGAGACCAGAGCAGAAAGCTAAGGGTATGTCTATGCTAGCCACCCTAGTTCAAACTAGGGTGGCTAATGTAGTCATTCAAACTTGCAAATGAAGCCCAGGATTAAAATATCCTGAGCTTTATTTGCACGTTTCCAGGCACCGTCATTTTTAAATGCCTGGTAGTTCGGAGTTTCCAGGCACCATCATTTTTAAATGCCTGGTAGTTCGGACTCCCTGCCCGCGGCTACACGCGGCACGGGCTAAGTAGTTCAAATTAAAGCCCCTAATTCGGACTATCGTTACTCTTCATTGCAGTTCGAACTAGGGTGGCAGTGTAGACATATACCCTAAGAGATTAAAAACATCTTCTATGTAAATGATCAGTCTCTCGCTGCGGAAGGATCTTGGTGTTACAGTGCTTCTCAGATCTGATGCCTTTGTTGAAATTGGGCGGCTCAAGGGAGATTAAGATGTTGCACAATGGTGAAATTCCTTTTCAAACTCTGGGACACGCAAGTCACCACGTGGCACACGGCGTTCACTGCAGACAAGGCAGAACTGGGTTCGTCTTGAATCCCTCAAGATGCCTTGGAAGCTGCACAGTTGTTTGTGTTTCCTCTTTGGCAGCCTCAAGCAAATGAGTGCTGCTTCCTGCCCCACAGTGGCTGCCCCCCCTCACTCCATCCCTTTCCTTTTCCAGGTACCACAGTCTGTATCTGAAGGTCAAGGGGAACGTGTTCAAGAACAAGCGGATTCTGATGGAGCACATCCACAAACTCAAGGCAGACAAGGCTCGCAAGAAGCTCCTGGCGTAAGTGTTTGATTCTTAAAGCCATGCAGAGCGCTCCGTACAGGCCCAGGGTTAAAAGTCTTGCACAAGTTTGCTTTTTATAGCTCTCAATATCGGTTCAGGTGATTCCAAGTGCTTTCAGCACTGTCCTCGTAAGCACCCTTGTATCGGTATCGCACCATTCGCATTAGGAGACTTCTACTCTGCCAGTATGGCTAGAGCAGCAGAACTTTCTAGTGTAGACGAGGCGTAAGGCTGAGCTGAATGCAGGGTTGTACCGCATCAATGTTGACAAATCAGCCTTGGTTCTAATGGTGTAAATATATCCCAGGGTGACGCAAGTGTCCCCTTTCAACAAGCTTTGCCCTTCTGTGCCACAAATGCCCAGGAAATCGCAAACCTTCTGGGAATGGGCACATTATTTAGCTGAAGATTATGGAGACAAACTCCCCTCCCATTGGAGGATCCGGTCTGAAGAAGAGGGAGAGTTAAGACAGTTGAAGGACAAATATGTTCCGGCAGATCATGCGTTACTTTCCCTTTCTAAATTCAGTCAGTGGACAGATTAGCTTTGATAGGATCTCAAGGGAGTCTCTAACAGACAAGTCAACATGGTGGCCTTGGAGTGAAGGCAGCATGGTGCCCTTGTGCTGACCTAGCTCATTCCCAATCCTGGCCAAGAGTAGCTCCTATTGACTGTGGATCATTGGGGTCACTGAACAAGATACTGCATTGCACTTTAGTCTGTTGCATTGCAGAGCCGTACCGGGGAGCTGTAATGCCTCGATGGTGCATGAGGGGTTTGTGAAATGTGTTCGTAGCTCATCTCTCCCCGACAGCTACCTACGGCTGGAGCAAAATAGTGGGAGGTAGGGAGGGAGGCCCAGGTGAAAGCTGGGTAGGTTTATGGCAGTTGTTTTTGACATCCCTTGTGTTCATGAAACCTCTTCATTTCCAGTGACCAGGCGGAAGCTCGCCGGTCCAAGACTAAGGAAGCCCGCAAGCGCCGTGAAGAACGTCTGCAAGCCAAGAAGGAAGAGATCATCAAGACTCTCTCCAAGGAGGAGGAAACCAAGAAGTAAACTTCTGTGGCTGTTCTGTGTACATAGTGCTGTCATCAAAAGGGTATTAATAAACGTTCCACATCCAAACCGGCTCTGGCCTGTGTCGGCTTCCTTTCCTGCTTGGGTTCGGGGGTGCTGAGCTGCCTTTGCCATCTGGGGACATGTGGCTCTTGCAATACAGTGAAACTTTTCAGCAATCCACCTTTCTATCGCGCAGTGCTTTTGCGGGGCAGCACACCTAACCTCTCAAGGCTCGGGTGTGCATCTAGTCAGTACAGCAACTTTCTTCCTGCTGTAGAAAGAGGGCGAAGGGTCTCTCGGCCAAAGGACAGTCACTGAGCTGGGATGGATGCGTAGAAAGGAGAAGCCTTGGTAGCTGAGCCTGGGGACAAGATGCAGTAGGAGCAGTCCCTCAATCCCTGCAGTATTGTTTCTCGTACTGGGTAGAAAAGTTAGCCAAGTGGCACCTTCATAAGCAAAAGAAAAGGAACGTTAAGTATCTGTACCCACACTCTCAGGGCTAGCCGCCATAATCTATATCTACAAACCCACGAGGAGTCCTGTGGCACTTCAAAGACTAACAAGTATTCGGGCATAAGAACGGCCAGACTGGGTCAGACCAAAGGTCCATCTTGCCCCGTGTCCTGTCTGCCCACAGTGGCCAGCGCCAGGTGCCCCAGAGGGAGGGAACAGACCAGAAACAATCCCTCTCCCGTCACCCATTCCCAGCCTCGGGACACCAATTGCCCATCCTGGCTAATAGCCATTGATGATCCTGTCCTCCATGAATTTATCTAGTTTTCTTGAACCCTGTTAAAGTCCTGGTCTTCACAACCGCCTCTGGTAAGGAGACCCACAGGTTGACTGCGCTGTGGTGAAGAGAAACTTCCTTTTATTTGTTTTTAAACCTGCTGCCTATTAATTTAATTTGGTGATACACACCCCCGCCCTGTTCTTATGTTATGGGAACAAATACATAACTTTTCCTTATTCACTTTTTCCATACCAGTCCTGATTTTATAGACCTCTAGCCTATCCCCCATTAGTCTCTTTTCTAAGCTGAGAAGTCTCAGGTTTTTTTAATATTTCTTCATAGGAGACATGTTCCAAATCCCTAACCATTTTTGTTGCCCTTTTCTGAACCTTTTCCGATGCTGATATCTCTTTTGAGATGGTGACCACATCTGTACGCAGTATTCAAGATGTGGGCGTACTATGGTTTTATGTAGAGGCAATAAGATATTCTCTGTCTTATTCGCTATCCCTTTTTTAATGATTCCTAACATTGTTTGCTTTTTTGCCTGTGCTGCACACTGAGTGGACATTTTCATAGAACTACCTATAATGACTCAAAGAGCACTCTCATGAGTGGTAACAGTTACATTAGTCCCCGTCATTTTGTACATATAGTTGGGATTATTTTTTCCAGTGTTCACTATAATTTCATTTGCCATTTTCTTACCCATTTAGTTTGGTGAGATCTTTCTGAAGCTCTTCAGTCTGCTTTGGTTGTAACTATCTTGAGCAGTTTAGTATCATCTGCACATTTTTCCACCTCACTGTTTACTCCTCTCTCCAGATCATTTATAAATTGGTTGCATAGGATTGGTCCCAGTACAGACCTTTTGGGGGACACCATTAGTTACTTCTCTCCACTCTGAAAACTGACCACTTATTCCTACCCTTTGTTTCCTGTCTTTTAACCAGTTCTCAGTCCATGAAAGTACCTTCCCTCTTACCCCATGACAACTAACTTTAGAGCCTTTGGTGAGCGACCTTGTCAAAGGCTTTCTGAAAATCTACGTACACTGCGTCCACTGGATTCCCCCTTGTCCACATGTTTATTGATCCCCTCAAAGAACTCTAGCAAGGCAGGATTTCCCTTTACAGAAACCATGTTGACATTTCCCTAACAAATTATGTTCATCTCTGTCTGACAATTTTACTCTTTACTATAGTTTCAACTAATTTGCCCGGTACTGACATTAGACTTACCGGTCTGTAATTGCCAGAATCACCTCCAGAGCCCTTTTTAAATATTGATGTATTTGGGTCTAAGCTTTTGTGGGTAAACACCGCTTTGTCCAATGCATGAAGACCTCTTACAAAGTGATTTTACCCATGAAAGCTTAGGCCCAAATACACCAATATTTTAAAAGGGCTCTAGGTTTGATTAGATCATATCCATCAAGCTGTCATTTTAGACCCTTTCCTGAACCTGAGTTGGTCTCTGTGGGGAGTGAGTACCAAGGTCTTTCTTAATGAGCTGGTGGTACCATGTGCTTTCAACTTATGATCAGTACCGACGACTGTTCTACACCTGGGCCTATTCCCAATTAGTGTTCTGTGCTCTCAGCCCTGTTCATGCCAAGTTCTGTGAGCAGGGGCCTGCCTCTTGCTCACAGCGTAGCTCTGCTTTATATTAGCCATGTTTTGTCTGTTAGCAGAGGCCTGGCTACATGGGCTTTTGTTTCAGGTCTTCATCTTTCTACAGCAGCATCCTGGGAAGGAGGGCCAGGCCCAAGACAATCCAAGATAATTCAGGGCTTGGGGAGGATAGAAGGGTGACCCTTCCCTTCTCCCTGTGTGTGGCTGGGTGTTTGCCACCCCCTTGGCCACATACAAGGGTGAGAGCAGAAAAGTCCAAAACAGCTGCTCTATTTTTTTTTCACAGACATCTCTAAAAGCCTGAGCAAGACAAGCAGGGTGGCATGTGCCTCCCTGTCTCCTAGGAGAAGATCCCTATGCAATGAGTCAGGTCTGGATCTATGAAGTATCCAGTGTGCACGTCAAGGTCAGAGACCTTCAGTTTAGTTCTGGCAAGGATCAGGGTGTTGCTATGAACTTACTCGCGATGGGGTGACCTGCTAGAGGGAAAGCATGGTGGGGAGGTGATTAAAATCTATTCGGGTCACAGAGGGGTAGACTGAGCGGGGGATTGCTGCATTCCAGAAACAAGTGAAACCTGACTGGCGGAGGACGTGATGTTTTTTTCCAGCCCATAAACATCTGGGCCTGTTGTGCAGACAATGCTCAGAACCTGTAACTCCTACGCTGTGGGGGTTTGGCACCCCAGCATTAGGTTTTAAACAGCAGCTGCTGACATTGTACAGGTTGAACCTCTTTAGTCCGGCGCACTCTGATCTGGCAACCTCCCTCGTCCAGCATGATGTTAGTGAGCTGGATGTCCACGTACCGTAGGTGTGGCCAAGTTTCCCATGATCCCATAAAGTTTGTTTGCAGCCACCGGTCCTGGCTCCCGGTGTTCTTCGCTGCACCGGACAGTCCAGTATTTGAGGTTTCTGTCCAGGAAATAAATTGAGAAAATCCCAGACATAGAAATGTCCGGTATTTTCTAATTAAGTTGTTGTGTTATGAGTATCAGTACGTAGTTGCGTACTGCCTGGCTGGTAGACACGGCGTGCCATAAAGTTTGTTTGCAGCCACCGGTCCTGGCTCCCGGTGTTCTTCGCTGCACCGGACAGTCCAGTATTTGAGGTTTCTGTCCAGGAAATAAATTGAGAAAATCCCAGACATAGAAATGTCCGGTATTTTCTAATTAAGTTGTTGTGTTATGAGTATCAGTACGTAGTTGCGTACTGCCTGGCTGGTAGACACGGCGTGAGTCACATGGCGTGAGTGTGTCTACCAGCCAGGCAG